CTGCTCCCCAGCTCTCCGAGGCACCTAGCTTAGGCACCACGTGAAAACGGAAGCACACGACACTTGTCCTATGCGCAGATCCCCTCACTCAGCACAGCGTTTTCACCGTTCATCCCTGTGTGGCACGGCTCCGAACCCCCCTCCTTTTGGTGGCGGAATAACACCGCATTGTGCGGATAGCCACACGCTGTTTATTTATCTCTTGACAAGATACACGGGTTGTTGGGTTGTTCCCATCTTTCGACAACCGTGATTAATGCCGTGAACTCACACGTTATCCGGGCGCCAGCTTTCAGCTCTCGGTGCGTAAACCTAGAGCGAATCGCTGGGTCACACGGGGATCCTGTTAACCCCCCGCAGGAAGCCCCACAAGCGGCGCGCTGCAGGAGGGACCCGACTGCCCCGCATCCCCCCAACGCCTCTGCCGGTTTCCGTTCGTCGGGTTCCAGCCAACCTCGGGGTGAGGGCTGTCTCGCCCTGGCTTTGATTTGCGTTTCCCCGGTGACTGATGATGCTGAGCATCTCTCCGTGTGCTTATTGGTCACGGGGTGTCTTCTTTGGGAAAAAATGTCTTTTCAAGTCCTTTGCCCGTTTTTTAAAATTTATTTATTTATTTATTTATTTATTTATTTATTTATTATATGTCTTTATTGATTTCGGAGAGAAGGGAGAGGGAGAGAGAGAGAGAGAAACATCAATGATGAGAGTCATTGATCGGCTGCCTTCTGCACGCCCCCGACTGGGGATCGAGCCCGCAACCCAGGCATGTGCCCCAACCGGGAATCGAACCTCCATCTCCTGGATCCTAGGTCGATGCTCAGTCGCTGAGCCACGCCCGGCCGGGCTCCTTTGTCCATTTTAAATGGGGTTGTTTCGTTTTCTTGTTGAGTCGCAGGATATTAGATATTAGTCGTAGGATGTTTTAGATATTAATCCCTATCAGACATGATTTTCAAATAGTTTCTCCTGTTCTGGGGGTTGTCTTCCACTCTCTCGATAGTGTCCTTCGATGCACAACCGAGTATGACTTTTTGCACATGTGAAAAGAAAACAGCTGGCCCGACAAAGATCTACCAGCTGCTGGCTTCGCTACGTTAACAGGTTCACCCATTTAACCCACAAGCGTGGATTAGGGAGAACCTCGCGCCGGGTGCTGGGCAGGGGCTCACGTTCATGAGATACGGTAACCACCAGGGAGCTCACTTCCGAAGGGTCTCGAGTCTAGTTGACAAGACCCATAAATCAGAGGCTGAAAAACAATGGCAGTGAACGCTTGCGGGGGCCCTACGATCATTTCGAACGTGAACTCCAGTCGACGTGACCAGAGAGACCCGGCGTCGAGGGAGGCGGGCCGGGGGCGAGCACACAAGCCCGTCACCCCCGCCCCAAACCACACGCTCCAACTTCTCGCCAGCAATGATACCTCCGTCCTCACAGGAGGGCCCCGAGCCTTGCACAAGGGAAAGCTCATCAGAAACCAAGGCTGCTGAAATGGACGCAAGTGCACGTGGGACACAGGATTCCTAAAGGGTTGGTGCAAACGTTCGCACCGTGCTCTGCTTTTTAGCCACATCTCTGTTCTTTAAGGCAAGGTACGCTCCTACTTCAGGGAGCCTCGCTGACCGGCTTTGCCAGCTTTCCCTGCTTGACGCTGGGCTCGCCCACGAGTCTCAGCTCCCTGGGGGTAGCGACGTTCCCTGACCCCCAAAGACTTGCTTCAAGAGTGAGGGGCCCCACTTGCTTAAGCCAGAAGCCCAGGCAGCGTCCTCGATTCCTTCTTCTCCCTGGTCACCTACATCTAACCCATCAGCAAACCCGGTCGGCTTCCTTCCCGAGCCCCTCTCCGCAGGATACTGGCGCCTCCTGTGTATTAACCATGTGTTTCTGAGGCTTTGCCACTGGGGCCTGGCTGACGCTGAAGGACGTGCCCCCTCAGGGGCAGCCAATTCCTAGAGAGTAAATGATTCACCGTGGAGGGCGCATCTCACATACAAACAACCCATCCAGGGCTCCAACCTCCTCTACGGGGCAGGGCGCTCACCCTCAGGGCCACTACCCCCCTGTCCAATCACCCAGGGCAGGTACCAAGCAACCAGGGGCAGCCCCTATGCCCCAGAACCACTGAAACTATCCAAACTGGCCAATCACCCTGTCTGCCCACCCTGTCTTCCCACGGAAACCACAATAAAGGGCTGTGCCCAGGGGTCCCTGGTTCCCTCTGCCTCTGACCAACCCCTGGTGCCTCCCCATGTGGCCGAGGGGGTGGCATAGCCTGCCCCCTCCCCTTGGGGACTGTAACGAACCATCTTTCCAATGGCAGTCACCTCCTGATCTGTTGGCCTTGCCATACCTGAATAACAGCACATTTCCCGACATCCCGGAGTTGTGTCCCTTGCCTCTCCGAACCCTCCGATACCCCCACCCACTCAGTGTGCTTCTCCTTGAGGCCCACAGCCCAGGAGCCTAGGGACTTTTCCAAAATGGAAACTGATTACTTAATACCCCCCGAGCTTCCACTACGCATTAGAAGAAAACCCAGATTCCTTGCATGGCTTCCGGGGCCTATGTGCCCAGCTCCTACCTCTTGCTCATATTCCAGACCACGCTGGCTTCCTTTCGGTTCTTTGGAGACACCAAGCTATTTCCTGCCCCAGGGCCTTTGCATGTGCCATTCTCTCTGCCCGGAACACTCTTCCCCCAGCTTTGCAGGAATGGCCTCCCCGCTCTAGTCTCAGTCAAATGTCACCTCTTGGAGAGGACTTCCTTAACTAGGCAGCCAGACATCTTGTCCATTTTCTTGTTTCATTCTTTATTGCACTTGTCACTCTGTTGTGTCCTTTACTCGTTTATTGTCCATCTCCCCACCCCACCCCCACCCCCACTTGGAATCGAATATAAGCCCCTCGAGAACAGGGGCCTTGTTCACAGCTGTGTCCCCCAAGTCCATGCAGCCTGGCAGGTAGTACTGGACGAATGAATGTGGGGGACCTTACCTGTATTTTCAGGATTGGAGAGGGGAGGAATGGAAGGAGCTGATGAGTGCAGAGTTGTCCCTGCTGTGGCCCTGTAGCCACTTGGGAGTGGCTGGCTCACCAGAGGCTCCCAAACTCCTGGCCCGGGACCAGGCTACTGCAGTGTCCGGGCTGCTTCCTGGGCGAGCCAACGGAAAGCCAACTCTGTCTCGCGAGGTCCTGCTGACCATCACATTTCCCCTGCAAGGGTGCCCTGTCCTTCCCCAGACCCCAAGCTCATCGGTCGCCTGTTCCACAGGCTGGGCTGCCCCCAGGCCGCACCTCCGCTTGGCCCGCAGGATGCAATGCAGCTCTACTGGTGCAGAGATGTCTGGGGTGGCTGCCAGCACTTTTATCTTTTCACTTCATCTGCCAGCCAGGAGCTTTCCCCTGCTTTTGCCTCTTAAAGCTAAAAGCAAGAAATGTTGACCTTGAACACAGGTGCCTCTTGCTTCATTAGTCAAGGTCCCTGTCCTGGTTCACATCCGGGCCAGCTGCTCCCCAGTCTTCTCTCTCCTTGCTCCCCTCCCCCTAGGCAGCCTCAAAACAAAATTTGGGATTTCCCCCTGAGAGCTGGCTCAGGCGGTAGTAGCACTGCTAGTCTTCCTCTTTTCCCCAAGGGCACCGAGGCACCTCTTCAGACTGTGGCCAAGTGGCTGCTTGGAGAAAACATTCCCAGAGTCACAGCCCCACGCAGAGCAAAGGGGACCCCAGCACCCGAACCTGGTGGCTCTGGCTCCCCACCTTGTATTGCATTCTTTTGACAAACACTTTTTGAGGGTCTATTATTTGCCGAACATTGGTCAGCCAGGGCCTGTCTCACAGGACCGGGTAGGGACTGTGGTCACGTCAACGTTGTGTAGCTACCCAAGGTCAGGTCAGCGTTGTGCAGCTATCCACGCAGATGCTTTTGCGGCTTGTTATGTGACAGTTCAACTAAGCACCCTGGGACAACTGGCGTCCATACGCAAGAGAATGAACTTGACACCACTACCTCTCCCTTCACGTACAAAAACTAACTAAAAATGGATTAAACATCTAAGTGTAAGAGCTAAAACTGTTGACTTCTCAGAAGAGAGAATGCAAGCATAAACTTTCATGACACCGGATTCGGCAAAGCCTTCTTAGATATGACACCGAAAGCACTTATTAAAAACTTATGCCTCAAAGGACGCCATCAAGACAGTGGAAAGACAACCCACAGAGCGGGTGAAAATCACACACCTGGGAAGGGGCCTGCATCTAGAATATAGAAGGAGTTCTAACAACTCCCTAACAGGCAAAGAATCTGACTCGATTTCTCCAAAGAAGATATACAGATGGCCAACAAGCACATGAAAAGACGCTCAGCATCACCAGGCATCAGGAAAATGCAAATCCAAACCGCAGTCAGGCCCCGCCTCACGCCCAGGAGGGCGGCTAGAATAAAGGAGTCGGAGAACAGCAAGTGTTGGCGAGGATGTGGGGAAGCAGCGCCTTGTCAGGCTGTTCTGGGAACGCAGAACGGCGCGGTGGCTGTGAAAAGCACTCTGGCAGTTTCTCAAAAAATTAAACATAAAGTAACCGTATGACCCAGCAGTTCCACTCCTAAGAATGAAAACACATCCCACACGAGAACACGTACACATGTTCATAGCAGCGTTATTCCCGACAGCTAAAAAGTGGAAATGTCCACAAACTAACCGATGCATAAATAAAATGTGGTCTATCCATACAATCAAATTATTATTTAGCAGTAAAAAGGAATGAAGCACTGGCACACCCGACAACCTGGGATGACCCTTGAAGACGTTATGTAGATAAACACATACATACGTGTCTATGTAACATATATGGAGACAAAAGGCCACATTGTATGATTCCATTTATCTGAAAATTCCAGAAGAGGCAAATCCAGAGAGCAGATCCGTGGCTTTGGGGGAAGTGGGGAGTGACTGCTAATGCGGACAGGGTTCATCGCTGGGGTGATAAAAAATGTACCACACTGACTGTGGTGATGGCTGCACAGCTCTGTGACGATGCTGGAAACCAATGACTTGTACGCTTTAAAAGGGTGAGCGGCATTGTATCTCAGTAAAGCTGCTAGTAAAAAACCATGTGATAAAGGTCCTGGACAATCCAGAGGGCTTGAGAATCTGCACACTTATAACCTGTGGTGGGTAGAATAGTGAATCTCTAAAGATGTCCAGGCTTTAATATCCGGAACCTGTATGTCACCTTACCTGGCAAACCGGACTTTGCAGGTGTGACTAAAGGTATGGATCTGACATGGGGGGATTATCCTGGATTATGCCATGTGCCCCTCTAATCACCAGCGTCCTTAAAAGCAGAGGCCCTTCCCCGGCTGGGGCTGAGAGATGAACCTGAAAAGAAAGGAGAGATTCAAAGCACGTGGCCTTCTGTTGCTGGCTTTGACGATGGAGGTTGGGGGACACAAGCCAGGCAATGCAGTGGCCCCGGAAGCTGGGAAGGGCCCTCTGCTGACAGCCAGCAAGGAGACAGGGACTAGATCTCAGTCCCAAACCACAAGTAGCTAAATCCTGCCAACACCCAACTGAGCAAGAGAAGGGCTTCCCTAGGAAGGAACGCGGCCCATGGAGACCCACGTGGGGCTTCGGACCCACAGGGCTGTAAAATAATATGTTTGTGTTGTTTAAGCCGCCAAATGGTGGCAGATTGTTACGGCAGCAACAGAACAACACACAGCCACTTCACGTAGACTTTACGAAGCCAACCTTAAGAAAATAAAAGAGTGCTGAGCTTGGGGAGGGAAAGATCGACTTGTGGGAAGGAAAACCCACGGCACCTGTTCTCCCCCTCCCCACCCCCCGCGAAAAGCAAAGACTGAACAAGTGGAACTGACTTAGGGAGCACTGCCTGAAAACAGAAACTCCACAGACATCTCCTGTGAGTCCTTCGTCACCCTGGGTCTCACTTTCCACGTCTGTGAGGCAGCCCGTTACCCTGACTTCTGCCTACCCCGCAACTTAGGAAGACAAACAAAATCTGCTCGCAGGGAGAGCTCTGGGCGCTCCTGGACTGGCACGGCTCAGGTGACAGGGCCCGTGCGGGGCATCGCGCCTTCCTCTGGCTTCCTTCGGAGAGTTCTGGGCACCCCCGGCCCCTGGCGGTGTGGCCTGAAGCGTCTGAAATGAGAAAAGCTTCAGGCGGGCAACTGCGCTGAAGCCAATGATCCAAGGGAGTGAGGTTTTCGATTTTTGGTTCGGGGGGCAACACGCTCACACCTGGGTGAGACCAAGTTGTCTGCGCGATGGAAAGAGAGCAGAGCAATGATCCAGAAGGTGAGGGAGGACGGCAGGGAAGCAGAAACACCTCAGTGATGTGTGGGAGCGGAAACGCTGTCGAGGAAACAGTTGTGACACCCGAGGCTCATTCCCATCACTCCTCAGACTCCACCCCACCAACAAGAAGGTGAACACACACGTTTTCTTAATAAGCTGGTTCAAAGGACTGGCTTTGGGATATTTTTAAAGCTGCCTTCAAGGTACCTCAAGGTCACCCTTGTGACGGCTGCACAAGGATCTGGGGAAGGTCCCCTCCGCGCATCTGTCTCCAGGCACCTGCCTTCTCCCACCTGTGTCTCCCTTGGCCCGGGGTTTACGCAGCTGTGTAGGTGCATGGTGCGCCTAGGGTTACAGAGCACGGGAAGGGCTCTTACCAAGAGTCCTGGCACCACCCAGTCCGGTTTGGCTGGTCCCTGCCCAGACCCTCCTGCCCACTTCCAGCTGTGCAGGCAGCCAGTGGGTACCTGGCTCCTCGACCCTCTGCACAAGTCCTACCCAGGGTGTGGAAATCCTTCCCGAGCTCCTGCAGGCCCCCAGATGGCCCAGCCTTCCTGGAACCCTCTTGCCCAACAATCCTGTGTGGTAATCGCGCCTGTTGCCCCTACTCAGGCCTGCTGGCCACTGCCACGTTCCCTCTGCTCGTTCCCGACCCTCTACCTCTACTGGAGCCTTCAAGAAATAAGAAGCTGCTACCGGTTTCACCACCTGTTCCGAAGGCCTTCTCTTGGGGGTCCAGCATTCTTCAGCGGAGGTGGCCACGCATTCTCCTGTCTCTGGGGTGGGAGGAAGGCAGGTGTGGACGAGGGACAGGGTAGGAATGGGGGATCTATGTCCAAGAGGTGGTCCTGGGTGGCCTGGCTGGCCAGTGTCGCAGCGTCCCTGCCTTGATTAACCCAAGGTCACTCGGGATCTGCCCAGCAGCAGAAAGGAGCAGCTGCCTCCGTAATGGCTGGGCCCCCTGGGCACACTCACAGCGCCAGAGAGAAGAGGGCACAGGGCTGCTGCTGGCCGAGGGTCAGGCACTGCGCGATGTTGGTGAGGCTGGGGTGGAGGGCCGGCATACCATTCCCTGGGTGCTGAGAGGGGCACCTCGCCGTCACCCTACGGACAGGGCCTCCTTTCCATTGACTGTCTTGCTAACAAAGCCACACAGGCGCAGGCTGCCATTTACAGCACTTTTCACAGGCCAGGTGCGCTCTCCTTGCCCCCACGGTACAGATGAAGAAACCGAGCCTCAGGTCACTGTCTTCAAGGTCACGCGCTAGGATAAGCAGAGTTAAAGCTGGCTGCGGGAGCACCTCGGGCGAGGAAAGTGGGATGAACCAAGCGCCCGTTCAGGCCGCGCGCACAGACGGAGACAAGGCCCGGCCCCGGTCACCTGCTCCCACAGCGNCAGGCCCGGGCCCCGGTCACCTGCTCCCACAGCGCGGGTCAGATTCTGGGGAGGAGCCAGCAACCAGGCTCCCAGGCTTCCTTCGGGACCCCCCCGGCCCCCCCAGCTTCCCTCGGCCACCGCGCGTCTCAGGAGGCGGCCCCCAGGGCGGGAGAGGCGGCCGCGGGGGCGACAGGGGACAGACACTCGCCCGCTCATTCCGCTCCCAGGGCTAGCGGGTCCCGCGAGGCAGGATCCCCGCGAGGCAGGAAACC